GATCAAAACTAAACTGGTCGATCCTGCCATCCTAGATTGACTAGAGTTTATATATNCACACACACACACACACACACACACACACACACACACACACACACACACACACACACACACACAAATGGTTTACATAAAGTTACTTTCATCTACATGATGTAACCCCACCTCCCCATCAGGAAACCAATCAATACAACAACAGCTGATGTCCAGGTAGCCCATCACAGCACCACATAAGGACAAACAAACACTTTCTCACTCACACCTGGTGACTATGTTGGAATTAACCTGTTTTTAGTCTGTGGAAGGAAACCCGGTGAAAACCCACATGCATGGAAAAAAACATGCAAACTCTACCCAGAATGGTCCTCGGCCAGGATTCAATTAACCTTCATGCCGAAAAGCAACAGCTCTACCAGCTGAGCCACCATGCCACCCAGCTGAATTTTTTTTTTTTTTTTTTTTTTTTACAAATTAAAATCAAGCTGAAGCAGCAGCTCTACAGTCTAAAGAAATGACAGGGTTCAAGTCTGAAAACATGATCATTTCTTCTCTTTGTCATTAAAACTCTCAGCAAAGAAGAAAGTAGGCTACCTCAATTTATTACAACTTCCTGTCAAACTGTAGGGGTTTTCTTTCAAAGACAAGATTACACATTTTCAACAAGAAAAATGTTGAATTAAAGAATGAAAATTTTCAACATCAAACGAAGATTTATTCAATTCAATGAGAAAAATTGGTTTTATCACAACGGTGGTTGAACTCAGTGCAGGCAGACTCGACGAGAAAAAAAAGCAAACATGGTGGCAATATTTACAGGAAAAACCCAGGAGAGCTCAGGGAACCATGAGGAGGACCGAGACTAATCAGGTGAAACCATACAATGATCTGAAGAGGTGGTGGTGGCAGGAAACAGGTTATATGGAGCAGAGGAATAAGGTACTGGGAATAGCTGACCTGATTGGAGATGGGAACAGGTGAGGCTGACTGACTGAGAACAAACAGAGAAAGCTGTTGATGGGAAATGACTCAGGATGATTAATATAAGGGTAACAAATATCTGTGAAATACAGAAACACAAAGGGAAAAATGTCTAAACTAACAAGAAAACGGATCACAGAAACCAGAAATTGAATAAACTAACTAATAAACTCAAAGTAAACAAACCAAAACACAAAGACCATGACAAGTTTTGACAGAAAATGACTCCTTCTCTTGCTGAGCTTGGGCTAATTTGCTGTATCTGGACTTTCAGTTTTTATCTGTTTGAATGCAAGAACCTTAAATCCACCTCCCACAGGTATGCTGTGGGCTTTAGTTACTGTGCTGTCCTCATCTCAATGCAGCCATAAATACAAATTTTCTTTCTGAGATAACACCAGAGCTTTGTAGATTTCAAATGAAATTTAATGATGCAAAATTTCTAACTGCATCACTAACACGCAGCACTGAGTGAAACAAACAAGCAGATGTTGATTTATCTGCCAACAGTTTCTTCATGAGGGAGGGGCTCTGTCTTTAGTCCGTTCAAGCCCTATACCTGCCTGCTGGAGGATTTAAGAATGAGGGTCCACAACCAGTCTGTCACACTGTGCTGCCCACATCTACACACACACACACACACACACACACACATCATACTACATACACTACCTGTCCAAACTCTGCCCTCTTACACACTCATTCATAATGCATGCAACCAATGTTTGGTTATTGTGCTGTGTGAAGGACAGAAATTCACCCCAAAACAATGAGATAAAGTTTTTTTTTCCCAAAGTTCCAGCACTGGAGGGAAAATCTGTTGGCTAAAAAAGGAAACAATATCTTCGTATCATTGTTTTTCATTCACATAAATACACAAACACACTGAAGAAAAAAAAACAATAAGAAAAAAAAACTCTACTTAAATCCCTCCAACTGAGGCAGATGATCTGCTTATACAGTTTTCCCACTATTTTTATAAAGGGTCCAGGAAAGCGTTGCCTGTTTTATTTTATGTTTTATTTTAATTATATAAAGGCTCTGTGTTTTGTGCACGTCCATCTTTGAATCAATGTGGGAAGGTAATAAATGCAGGTTTCTTGGCATTTCATGATACTGACATTAAACCCTTGTCTGACATTTAAATTACCCTTTGATTTATTGATTATTATTTGATTTATTTATTTTTTCCAGACAGCTCCTTCAAGGCTGCATAAGACTGATCACCCACCTCTCTGTGGGAAGGCAATTTGTCCGTCCGTCCGTCCATCCATCCATCCATCCATCCATCCATCCATCCATCCATACATCCATCCATCCATCCATTCATGTTCTTTTCTGGGTTGCAGGGGGAAAACGACCATTAATTAAATGCCCAGGATTCCCAGTCCAAGCATCAATTAGTCCTTGGAATAAGTCTGAGAGAGCAAAGGTTTTTCTTTTGTTTTGTTTTGTTTTGTTTTGTTTTGTTTTAGAAGTCATTTTCATCACCAGGCTGACTGTTCTGGTGAACAAATAGGAAATAGATAGCATTTCCTCCTTCTCCATAAAACCAAGCTGCAGAGACTAAATGATTGGAGCAGTATTAATCCATGTTATTAATTTAATAAAGCAGCTGTCAGGAAAAATGAAGACAGCAGTCAATTGTTAACTCATGCATGTTAGAGGGGAAACTGTGAAGTCTTCAAAGAAACTGAATCCATTTCCTGTTGCACTTCAACACGTGGAGATAAACGGGGAACAAAATGGGATTTTGTGCTCGCACAGCTATAAACTGTCATCTTCACAACAGGAGCAAAGCATACAAAGAGGCTTCTCCGTCTAACTTTAACCAGTCTTTTCCTTGTAGTTTGCAAACTTCCAATTTCCTTATGATCTTTAAAGTATGTGTAAATCAACGGTACAGTGTATAAAACCTGCATGAAAGCATGATTGATTTCTTCAGTATTTTATGTTGAGTAAACAGGCCGCCAAAAAACTGCAGGTGGAACTGTCAAATGAAACTGCATGGAAATCCTCGACTTTGATGCTGAAAAGTCTGCTATAGGAATGTCTTGTGAAATCATAATTTGGTTTAATCAAACGTCACGACACACGTCACTTTGAAACACTAAAAGCAAAACCAAATAAGATTTTAAATGTATGTATTTTTATTGTCCTTTTGCCAAAAAAATAGATGATAATGCCTGTGTGTGATTGTCTGTGTGATAGTAAAAGGATGTCAAGAGCCAGTGAAACTACATATTTTTTAACTAAGGTAGATTTAAAACTAGAAGTAATTAGTTATTAAAGTTTCAATTTGTTTCAAGTTGGCTGCCATGTTTTATCTTAGCTAACAGAAAAACAGCAACTGTATAACTCAGTTGGTTTGTACATATTTTGTCACAATTTAAGTTTAAGGGGCGGCTGTGGTAGAGTGGCGAGGGGAGTCGTCCTGGAACTGGAAGGTCGCCGAATCGATTCCCGTCCAGTCGACTCAGTCGTTGTGTCCTTGGGCAAGACACCTTTCCCACCTTGCCTACTGATGGTGGTCAGAGGGTCCAGTGGTGCCTGTGTATGGCAGCCCCGCCTCTGTTAGTGTGCCCCAGGGCAGCTGTGGCTACAATTGCAGTTTGCCATCATCAGTGTGTGAATGAGTGAATGTCTGCAGTGTGACGTGCTTTGAGTGTCCTGGATGGATGGAAAGGCGCTATATAAGTACAGTCCATTTAGTCTTGCATCTGGACCAGGTCTAGTGGTCCAGATGCTTAAAAATAGATAAAAATGACATTATTTGAAGTTTCACAAATCAGAAAAAGGTTTCACAAATCTCAAACTTAGTTTAAAATATTCTTCCATCAGTGTAGAATAATCTAGTCCAGGTTTGAAGAGTCTCGGTGTTGTAGTCTTGGAGCTGGACTTGTTGATAAAAAGACTCTAATACTGTAAATGACAAATATATAAGCAGATTATAGCCTCCAAACTAGATTTAATGTCTTGTCTCTTGAGAATAACGATACATTAAGTGTTATGATTAAATACAATTCTGGGAGGAACAGAACCAGAGACGTCTCATTTCCTGAGGCAATTTACCTCCCGTAGAACCACTTTGCATATGAAAGAAAAAAATTCTTAAAGTCTTTTTGAGTAAAGTTTTGTCATTTTAACGTCACCCTTAATTAACAAACAGCTGAAATGCTCCGGGTGATGTCATTGTTTGGATGAGGCTGTCATTATCTCTAAACTTCTCCAATTAGTAAAAAAAATACAGCAGCTATAGAGTCCTCAGTAGAACACAAAAATATGGTCATATCACTCAGTTCTTGCTTCTTAACATCGGCTACCTGTGGTGTTTGATTGATTTTAAGATTGTATTGTTCGTTTTTAAATCATTGACTGGACTTGCACCATCTTATATTAATAAGTTACTTACTCCTCACACACCCTGGAGACTTCTGAGATCATCTGATCAGTCACTACTTTTGTTGCCCAGAGCAAGATTACAGAGGGTTAACAAGCCTCTTTTATGGAACGCACTGCCACCTAACATCACACAAGCCTCTTCATTGTCCTCTTTTGATGTACTACTGTATTAGTTGGTTTTAAATTGTTGATTTTTGCATGTTTTATTTTTTAATTTGTGCTATGTATTTTAGGTGTTTTGATTTAATTGTGTGATGTAAAGCACTTTGTAACAGAGTTTTGAAAGGTACTAGACAAATAAATGTTTATTATTATTCTTCAGATCAGCAAAAATCCACTCAGTTAAACAAAAGGTTACATATATAAGAGCAATGCATACTTTGTAAAATAGCTGGAGCATTTTTTTTCAATAAAGTGCAAATTTTGAAAAAAAAACTGCTTTATGTGTCTGCCAATAGCATGTTTATTCTAATGTAGAAGATGACTGGCTTGGCTAAAAGGCAGTAAATTATTAGTACTACCATTATTAACAGCAACGTGTCAGCTATTATTAGAAACAAATTTGAATTTCTTTGTCTTTTATTTTTCTTAACAGAGCAAGCAATTTACAAACAGAAAAATAACAGCCAGTAAAAGCTTTTATTCATATGAACACTTAGAAAACTGAAAACATCTTTGGTTCTACAACTGGACTTTGTTTGCTGTATATAATATGTAGATAAGTGGATACATATCTGCATTAATCCCAAAATTACAAATCTTACAGTTATTTTACAGTGGAATAAAACGTAATATAAAACCACTGAAGAGTTCATTACTAACAGACACTGTTCTTTCTTTCATTTTAGGAAATCTTAACACACGTTCATGTTTATTATAGAGTTTTAAACATGCATGTTTCACATGGTGACAGGAGAAAATATGCACCTTATAAATAATTGTGGAATAGGTCAAAGTAAGGAGGGAGAATGTGATTATCTCTGCCGACCTTTAGTACAGATATACTGTGATTTGTGCATTTGTTTGTTAACTGTGTCACCATGGTAACTGATGTTTCAGTGTCAAGGCTTGAAGTGGGGGGGGTGACCTTGTCTCGGAGAAGGCCACACAGCTGCATCCATCTCCCTTCCTCTATTTCTGTCTCTGTCTCAATCTGCTTCTGAGCCAGCTGCCTCCCTCGCCATCCCTCCCTAAAACCGCCAAAGTGTTTCTGCCTCCTCCTGCTCCCACGACTCAGCGCAAAGTGACACACAAAAAAGGGACACCCGGCTGCCGGGTGTTAACGTTACTGGGACCTGAAGCAGGAGGAGCACGTCCCGCCTCGGTCCTTCTCTAACTGAGGGGTGATGGTGTCGGGAATCTCTGACTGCAGCATGTCGTTCTCGCTCGCAATGATGTGTTTCACCAGGCAGGTGGCTGCCTCGTCGATGTTGATGTTCTCCTGGAGAGCAAAAAGAGAAAAAAAAGGAAGTGACGTTATGTGACATGATGTGGATGAAATAAAAAAGACAAACTGTTCCTGTTCTGTAGAAGCCAAAAAGGTGAGAAAATCAACTGGGTCATAATTAAATTGAAGAGAGTGGTGCAGCATGAGTCAGCATCCACAATATAAACCGCATGTGTCAAACTCAAGGCCCACAGGCCAAATGTGGCCCGTGAGGGTTTCAGAGATATTTTGTCTTAAAATAGGCATTTGCTGCTTGAAAGCCAGCATTGAAATTAAACTACATATCACACAATGCATGACCAATATACTTGAAAAACAACAGCATCCCACCACTAAGTGCACTGAAAAAAATAACTTGTAAGGTGTACTTGAAAAAATCCTCTAACAAATTTGCACTAGCGTTTCTCAATTAAATCTTATAACTTATAATTGATCAAATTAAGTAAAATTTACCTGATTAACTCACAAATCTTTAACTATTTTAATTACTTTTACTAGATAATGATGAGTAAATATTACATGAATTTGTAGCATTTAAATTTACTTAACCAACATTAGTGCAAATTGTTACAAGGATTTTTTTCTAGTAAATCTTACAAGTTCCTTATAACAGTGCACATGCACGAAGCACAATATTGTTGCATGACACCTCACAGCTACAGAGAGAGGTGTAGCTCATGTAGTCCAAGACTTCGCCACCAGGTGGCCGTTTTGAATAACCTTCATTTGATTCTTCTTCATGAACAACCCAAAGTGAAACTCACAGGTCTTATTAATGATTAGGCCAACCACTCTCACTTATGGTTACTTCTGCTGAATGGTTTAACACAAGTTAACAAATAATGAACACACAAATTAGAGTAACACAACAGACTAATCGCTGAAAGAACAATGTTAACCAGTTCCCTAAAATGATTTAACAACAACAAACATGAATCCTACCCACAATCCTCCACTGCAGTCACATGACAAACAGCCAGTCTGAGTTAGCACTGCTAACATTCACCGGCTACATTATGCCATCAAACTATTGCACACCATCACATGTTTTCAAGCAAAAGAAACCAGACAACTTGTGTTTTATTTCGACCATGTCTTGTCCTCTCCTTGAAAAGCGAAGCGAGGGAATGAGGAGCWGCAGCCTTTGTGTGCATGCACCCTCAGTTTTAGCCCAGAAGAGTAGAAGTTACTTAATATATTCATGTTTATGTGCTGTCCAAAAAAGTCACTTAAATATTACTGGTAAAATAATATTAGCATTTACTTTGTTTGTACAGCAATATTGATATATAATATAATGTGTATTGTTTATTTAGTAAATTCTAGTAGTTTAGAGATTTTGATATTTTTTGTAAAATTTAAAAGAACAATTAAATAAATGTTACTACACCCAAAAATCCTTTGTTTCAGTGTGGAGCTGCACAGGGTTCAAAAGGAACCAGCAGCTGACAAAATTCAACTTGTAAAATCTCTATTTTGCTGTTGGCTACTATTGCTGCAACCAGTTGTACTGGAAAGTGGGAATTTTCCACTTACAGCTAGTAAATTCAAACCTGAATGCCCCCTCCATTGGGGATTCCCCACTGGAAAGTGCAAGAGCTCAGAATTGAAGATGGCAGCTGCTCGCCACAACTCAACAGTGAGTAAAACCACTCAATGAAAACACAGTTTTTACTTTTATTATTATTTACGTACTCAAATTTAGTTGGTTGTACACAAAGCACTTTTCAGTATTTATAAGAGAACATGTTAAAACTCTGTTTCCATGCAGTAAAAACCATGTAGAGCTCAGTAACTGTTTGCTAGCTGTGCTCAGCCGTATAGCAGTGAGATGAGGGAAAAAATTGTGTTTAATCTAAGTTAAACATGAAATATCAAAGTTATTTACAACTGGTCCTTTAAGGGCAATCATAATGCTCTGTGAAAAAGAGTTGAAATAAGCTAAAAGAGGAGTTTTTGCAGTTGTAATAAGCAGGTAAAACAGTACAACCCTTGACAAAAATGATGGAAATACCACTGTTAGAGGATATCATTTCAACTGTTTAACCTTGTATAAAAAATAAATCAATGACAGATATGCCACAAAACTATCATTTTCTAAAATTCCAAATTCCCGGCATTAGGAAAAACTAAAAAAGACTATCAATGTTTTAAAAATTGAAAAGAGAAGAGTATGGTAACCAGAATCACTAAGTAAGAAATGAGGTAAGCAAACACAGCTGTGGTCAGCTAATATATTCTTCAGTCAGCTAAATTAAACATCTTTTATTCTTTATTCAGCTGCTCCCTTTAGAGCAGAGGTTTTCAGCACTGTGACCCACTGTCCTGCATGTTTTAGCTGTTCCCTGCTTCAACACACCTGACTGAAGTGAATGAGTGATTGACAGGCTTCTTCTAAATTCAGTGACATTCTGAGTAGACAATTAAATTACTGAAGTCAGATGTGTTGAGGCAGGGAAACACCTTTCTGTCACAAATCATTTCAGGTGCTCATTTCTCTCATAAACTCTCTTCTTCACCTCTCCTGCCCACTTGCTTGTTGCTTTGCATTGTTGACAGCAGGCACTTAAATTGAACATTTGTCAACACGGTTCCACCTGTCTCCCTCTGTCACTCACTTTTTTTCTCGCCACCTCTCCGGGCTCTCTTCCACCTGCTCCCTACACTCACTACATATCAGCAAGGTTGTTTGCAAACATCATAGTCATGGGGGTGCGGCTCCCGCCTGACCTCATCTGTCAACCTGTCCCACCCCACTACAATCAAGAAGATTTGCAGATGTCACCACTGCCTTGTCCTGCACGACACTTGTGTACTTCTTCACCACACCTGACTTACTCAAAGTGTAGCACAGCTCTCTGCGTACCCAATCATCAGCTTTCTCTCGATCCACAAAAACACAGTGACACCTTCTGACCTTCACTGTTTTCCTCCATCAGCTCGATCAAAGTGGAGCTCTTTCTCAACACGAAACCATACTGGTGCTCACTGTTCACCACCTCCTTGTATAACCTGGCTTCAGTATTTGATTCTTATGTCTTTATGATATGGATCCCTTGAAATAAAAGATCCGTGATCACAGTGGGATTTGCCTGGTTAAATAAAGGTAACTAATAATAAATAAAATCAACTTCACCACTACAGCAAACCCATCTTGTTCTAAAAAAATGGTACTGGTCTTGTTCTCCAGTCCTCAGGCCTCTGCACTCTGTGGGGTTATGTTAAATAATCTGATTAAAAAGCTCACGGCCCCCTCTGCTGAACATCTCCATACCCCCACAGTTATTTCATCGTGTCCACTCTTCATCCTCTACAGCAGTGGTTCCCAAACTTTTTATCTTCTGACCCACAAAATATTCATGGCAAAAACTTGTGACCCCAAATATTACTGGTCTGACTTCGTTAACAATCCTAAAAACAAAGGCTACACAAATACAAATACTTATTTATACTTATTTTGTGTTTTTGTAATAATTATAGGGAAAATATTACATCACCAATTATTTTTATTACCCTTTAAATTGATTTCTGAAGTGCAGTGGTTC